AGAGGACCAGAGGACCAGAGGACCAGGGGCTCAGAGCAGGGTCTACGGGACCAACGGACCACGGGACCAGGGGGCCAGCCCTAACTCCAAAGCCCAAGCCGAGCCAACCCTAGGAAAAAAAAAACCTAGGACCCGATGGTCAAAGTACACACACCAAAAAACCACGAGCCTCTACCATACGAGGAATATAGCTTTCACTCCTCCCCTCGTTCTACTACTTCAAGCGGAAGACCTACAACACTACTACCTGAAAACTGCCGTCTTTCATTTAACGGCTCCCAAGTTCACCGCCTCCTTAAAGTTATCTCCTGAATAAGCTTCTTACAGGCTAGGTCTTACTGATCAAGCGGAAATCGTCGCGGGAGTAGGATTGGGAGGAAAGATTCAATGTTTCTCCGAGGGGCTCAGGCGATCCCCACGACACAACGGAGCCATCTTTTCGAAGAGCGGCAAAAGCCTCACAGCCAAGAGGGAACTTGCTGGCCTTTTCGTTAGACAACCCATACTCTTACTGGTACGGTTGTCGTAAGTCATACCCGACTCCCAAATCATGGAATGCTCGGTCGGGCCTTCTAAGGCTGCCTGCCATTTCATAAAGTTTCCGCCGCATTGTTCTGTAGGGTTTAAAGCAGCATGAAAGCAATGGTGGCTTCCTGCATGATCCACATCGGGAATACATACCCTAGAATGAGCAAGCATCACGGGAATAATGATACTCATTGTGATCTTGGTAGGAAGGAAGGATATCACTGCCGAGGCAATGAGCAGATCCTGATCGTGTAATGTAGGCTGTTTGATCTGAGCAGTGATTTCGGCGGTGTGTTATATTACAACAACATAAAGATTGAACGAAGCTCGTAAGTGATATTGGTAATTATTCAGGCGTCTACAGAAATCCTGGTCATGAACCCCGAGACGCTAAAGTCCAAACCCTCCACCTCAAATCTTGAGCCCTAAACTCTAAGCTCTACGCTTTAATCCTGAAGCTCAAGCCCTAAACGCCAAACTCTAAACCCTACACCCAAATCCTAAGTCCCAAGCTCAAATATTTATGCCCAAATCCCAGAGCCCCAGAACCCCAAACACTAAATGGGTCTCCAAAAAGCAAGCTGGGTGGCAATACAGACCTCCAAACTGCCATAATCCTTCTTATCAGCACCCTGAAAAGGGACCCCTCATTTCCGGAAATCCTAAACCATTATAATCTTCCATCTTCTCCTCCACTTGATTTTTCCATTGATTAGTGCGATAATTTCCCTAAACCCTATAAACCCTGAACCCTTTACCCTAATCCTAATTAAACCCTAATCCCGCAACCCTATATTCCCATACAACCCTCATTACCTAAACCCTAAACCCTAAACCCTAAAACCCTAAACCCTAAAACCCTAAACCTTAAAACCCTAAACCCTAAACCCTAAAACCCTAAAACCCTAAAACCCTCAACCCTAACCCCCAAATCTTCTGGCGAAGAGAGGCCTGGTTGGAAGCTTGGATCTGTGACACATCTTGGAGGTCACCCTGCAAGGCTCAAGGTTCTAGGTTTAGGGCTTTGGGCTTTGGGCTTTGGGGTTTAGGGTTCAGGGTTTAGGGCTTTGGGTTTGGGCTTTGGGG